GTAAAGCCCACCTTACCCCTACTGAAGCCAACTGTATTTCAGCTACACAGAGACAAAACCCCACAGGTTCACAACCATCCCTTGGTCTGTCTTCACCTTATGGAGGAAGGATGGGAGGCTCCTTCTGTCTGTCAGGCTCCTTCCCAGCCTAAAGGACAGAATATATTTGAATTAGAGAGTGCTGACCATTTTTTCGTGCATATCAACCAGCACAGATGTTTTCCAGCTCCATGTGCAAGCCTTATTGATGATCCCAAGGGTCTTTTCCAACCTGAATGATTCTGTGATTCTTAAAATTCAGAAAAGTTTGAACTGTGAGCAAAGTTGGAGTGAATATGCGTTGACCAACTGTTACCAACTTACAGGACAGTAATAAAGGGTATTGCTGCATGCAGACAACAATCAGATGGATTTTGAAATTACAAAACTTTAATTTCATAACAAGACTTTTTTATATCATCACAATGTGGTAAGCAGGACTCATCTCTGTCCCTGAACTGCCTCACTGAAGAGTGATGGTGATGCTTCCTTTCACAACAGCCATGTCTCTTACTCTAATTTTTGCATCTGTTTGCACATCAGTCTGTGAATACATGCTCTTACCTGAGCTCCAGCCTGGCTTTCTAGAGCAGACTGCCCAAACCAAGTGAAATTCCCAGTGGGCTGAATTCCAAACTTGCATTTTGACTAATTAAGTTTTATTAGGAAAGCTGTAAATGCCACGCAAAAACTGGCAGGCAAACTGCTTCTAATGATTAGACAATTGCTGTGCAGGGAGACCCATCTGCAGCCTTGATTCACAAGCCCTGTCAATAGAAGCATTAGTCTTTCCAAAATTGTCAATGCCAAGATGATCAAAAGTGGAATCAAGGATATGAGTAGGAGAGAAGGTAAAAGGCTATGAGCTTTCACCCAAAGGAGATGGCTGCCCTAGTCATACAGAGGATATGCAGGGTTGAAAGGTATATTTCTCATCAGGAGTCTAATTCTATCTGACCACTAAATGCTGAAGAATGAATTAGCACAATAATCTTGCAGCCAAAACCTTAAGGGCATGATGATATTCATATCAGAGCAACGGCAATGTCATAAGGATATAAATCAATCCACTCAAACAGAATCACCCTGGACACCTTTTCTTGATCCCATTTTAATTAAGGGTTGGACTTAAACTCTGAAGCATGAGGGGACTTTAACCTTAATTTTTATACTCACTTTTTGCACATGCTGTAGCAAGTATGAATACACTTGATATTCATATGTAAATTCAATCTTTCTGAGCATTTCTGGTATCAGAGATATCCTGTAGCAATGAGTTCCACAGAATCTATTGAACTTAAAAGATTTATCTCTTTCTTTGTAATGGCTTGAATTCACAAGGCAAATTAAGTTGCAACTCCTCATTACAGTGAAACCGTTTGAGGACATACACCAGTATTCTAGAATTCAAAAGTACAAAACAAACCATCAGTCGCCAGAAAATCCCATAAAACCCCACTGATCCAAAATGCAAAAGACTGAGCAGCACAGGGATGCTCGCTGGAATGGCAATAGGTCTTTGGCATTGTGAAAGAGTCGAGAGACATGTCTGTGGGGCACATCAGCTACTTCCTGTGCGTGCTGCTTCTCTTCAGTGAGGAAAGACAGTTAATCCCTCAATGGAAGTGGGATCAGCTTCCTTGCATCTATCCTTCAGTAAAAGCACGAGCCCAGACACCTACTAAGCTGATGTACTGTAACTTAATATACAGTATCTGGTTCATGTGCTCATCTCTTACCTAAATACAGCATTTCAGCTCTCAAAAAAAAAATAAAAATCAAGAGTAATTATTTTTCCATCTTCGGATCGGGTTTTGCAAGAACCACTACAGCCAAGGGGATCGTTGGTTTGCACAAAGAGGTTTTAAGAAACACATGGAAGTTTTACAAGTGGGTTCAGAAGGGGAGGATTCCTTCCACATTTCAGCACGGAACCATCACACACCTGGCTGCTCTGTCTTCCTGTCTCACCTTCCCCAAGCAGGCTCTCTAAGGAGGTGCTAAGCACAAAAGAAGACTTCAAGAGAAATGAAAAGTTTTCTTTGTCCACGTAAAGAAACATTTAATGATTGCCTTTACCCCACTTTCAACCTAGACTGCCTGTTCTTTATTCTCTGAGCAGGTGCTGAGAGATGAGGCTTTAGTGAGCAGACTGATTAAAAACAAGTATCGGATGTTTGGAGACAATGTGTAATACGACAACCAACACTCATCACATCACGTGAGAAAAATAATTAAAAAGATTGCTCTGTGACTATGCTGTTATAATTTCAAGCCTTGCATTTACAATTAAAAACCATTTGCCTTCTAAATGGCAGGCTAAATTCTGCTTTCTGCTTTGTCAGTGTGAAATCAAAAGCAATTCTCTAAATTAACAGCACTATCTTGAATTTATACTAGTGGAGATGAATCTACATTCACTTTTTCTAAACTATCCTATAAATACTAATATATCTTCTCTCTCTGTTTTTTGGTTGTGGCGTGGTTTTTTTTGGTGTTGCTTTTTTTTTTTTTAAGCACAAACAGAGAAAGTCGATTAGAAACAAGTTTCACAGGCAAGAACAATTGTTGCACGTCACAACTTTGGCTATTTCTGCAGAGTCTTAACTTTCCAGATGCTCCCGGATTTGAAATCTGGAGCTTGAGCCGTGACAAACCTGTGCAAAGTCTGCCCACTTTCCCTGAGCTGCAATTATATGATCCACGTGCAAATGAGCTTTCAAATCACTCTCAGACCATTTGTCCTAACACTTCTACATCCCCCAACCCCACGCGTCCTGCGTAAAACTACCTACTGTATCTTGAGCTTGTCTGTACTATAATAGGATGAAGACTCGGGGAGGAGGAATGCCGTCTAAAAGAGGTTTGTAACAAGGGAAAAAGTAGCTCTAACAGAGTAGCGACATCATAGGAACAGAGAGAGGCATTGTTGCAGGCCAAGTAATCCTGTGACACGCTACTGTCAGTCATAGCTTGACACCCTGCTGGGCCAGCAAGACATCAAAGCCCACCCCATACCATCTTACATGCTCTTTATCGGCTAATCAGCCTATTCTTCCTGAAATAAAGCTCTGTTAAATCCCCTGCTCACAGGGGCATTCCCATCCTGTTGCCCATCTGCTGGTGAGGGTCAGCTGAAGCAGGAGGCAGATCAGTGGCCTGTCCCTGGTGGCTTCTCAAAGCAGGACAATGCGGTCGCCAACTTTTTATTTTAAAATCCCTTCCCTTGCAATTCCCCCCCCCCCCCCTCCAGATACATACATGTGCAAGAGGTGTCACCAACCCAGGAACAATTACGTGGATTAGTGCTTTAATTGCACAGCTAACGTTTGATAATGGAGTTTGCAGCAACAATTACATAGAAAGAGTCACAACTGATACTGATAAAAGAAAAATTATTGTCCTCCTTTGAATTATTTCACTGCTAAGTCAGAGGTTTGTATCCTGCTGTTGTGTTGGGGAAGACAGCAAGCCCTTAACATTGTAATCTCAAAAGGGAGGATTATTTATCCTGTGGAACCCACTTAAAGTAGCTAGGATGGGACATAGTGAGCACCTCCAGCTCAATTTCAAGCAGAGAAGAGAATTCAGGGCTCTGTTCCTCCAGAAGCATCGGGGAGTCTCAAATTCCTTACACAGGGAAGGAGTACTCAGGAAAAGCCCTGTCCACACACCAAAGGGGACAGAGCTATAACTCTAGGTTTGCTACAGACTCTTTCTGGAAGAGATCCCACAAGATCCTGCAGAAATGCTTTTTTGTCAGAACTACTTCAATCTACAGGCAGCTGAACACAAGTCTGTAGAAGGATCATTTCTACCAACAGATCTGCTTTTTGATTTGAGCTTGTACTTATATTACTACAGTTGATCACATAATTAATAACTAAAAAAAAATACACTGCAGGCCTCCCCTTTCCTTCACATGCTAATGTCTTCTTAGGGAGAAGAATAAGTAGTCCAAGCTGCAGCTGACCATTCTGAGAGGATGGAACACAATGTGTCCCATGGCAAATCTGACAGCCCGGAAACTGCTGGTGGAACTGCAGGAGAAAGCCTACAAAAGACTGCCTGTCTAGTGTAGAAAAGGTGATAAAAAAGGCCAGAGGAGGCCACAGAAGGCCTTTAAAAGCAGTAATACACACAGCTTGCTCCTGATGCAGTGGTATTTGTCAAGAACAGGAAGGAAGAGGCTATCCTGTGAGATAAATCAGCACTCATACAGCCTTGCTCATAACACGCAGGACAGTCAACTTCAAATCTGAGAAGCAAAAATATTAATTTCTCTGGTGTTCCCTTGATGCTTTTATCATCCCATGCCTTATATCAACAGCAAGTACTTATGAACACAGCTGTATCTGAGAGCACCTTTCCCTAAACAGGGATGAGGACAAAGAGTTGGTACTGCGACAAAGAGTTGGTACTGCATGTGATCCTGAACCAGGGACTGCTGCTGGAGCTCTAGCAACCAAGACCTTCGCCAAAAAGAGAACCACTCCAATTTATGGGAAGTCTCATGCAGCGCTGCCTGTACTGTTCTTCATCCTTCAACATAGCTCTTGAGTGAAGTATAAATAAATAAAAATTAGGCTGTTTCTGCTCATAAGACTCAAAGGATGGTGAGTGGCTTGCTTTTGTTTTGCTTATTGTTTTTTGTGTTTTTAATCTGAATTCACACTCAAATGTTCAACGAAGTTGGTTTAATAAATCTAATTTTTAGGGTCTCTAATGACATTAGAGAGAGGCCAATGCAACCTGAGCCAATGGCTCAACATGATTTAGCATCTCACAACAATCACACGTGACCTACCCATGGCAGGGGGTTGGACTAATGATCTCTGAAAGTCCCTTCCATCCCAAACCATTCTATGATTCCTGGAGCAAGCACAACAACCTTGAGGAGCAAAGTTCACCATAGTTTGTCATGTGGTGTTCCTTGGCTAAGGAACACCAAGTTGGCCTACCTTTTTGGTCTCGGTTTGGTTTTCTTCTTTGAGCCTGCAGCTGGAAGAGCAGTCAGGTTCTGGGGGGCATCTCTCAGGCCGAAGCTCTTAGCCACATGACCCAGGTGAAGAGATTTGATGTGGAAGATGTGCTTGAGGTTTCTGGGATAGGTGGTATAGGCACAAAGGAAAGACTGCAGTGCTGGGGGGGGGGGGGGAAAAAAAAAAAAAAGTTAATTTTGTTTGCTACTGCATTTTTTTTATATATATACTTAAAGATTCAGCTGTTCCAGCTGAAAGAACATCGGTCTTGTCCTTTGGGACACCTTCTGGTCAGCAGCTGGTAGAAAAGGTTGGTATGTTAAAAATCTGTGAAGGTTGTGTAGTACTAGTACAATCCTGGAAGGGGAAGGTAGGTGGTGGAGAAGCGTTAAAAACTGAAACAAAGCTATATTAAGTTGCATTAGGTTTGCCTCTTGCAGGGATGCCCCTTTAGCCAGGAAGGACAATGTTTGTAGCACATCTCACATGAAGAGTCGTTGACGTCAGATGGTAGCAGGTAAGGAGAGAGAGGGAATAGAGATACAGGGATGAAGAGAGGGAAAGCAAAGCACGGAGATGGCATAGGAAGACTCCTCTGATATTACAGTCCCAGTAGCCCATGCATTTTTCACCAGTTACTAGCTAGTCTCTTATAAATATCTGAGAGCCAGACGGATTTCCTGACTCATCATCACACTGAGAACAGAGCTCGCCCTCTCAGAAAGGGAAAAATAATAGAATTGTGTGCAAATTTCCCTTCACATCTTTATATTCCTGTAATGCCCTTCCCTCAGGGCTCATTGCTCTAAAGACGATCATCCACTAATATGAACACTACCACTGCTCCTCCACGTACCCAGAACATTAACTACACCCAGGCTGTCCTCCCTGTTTGGGGAATAGAGGGACTTTTAGTAAGGAAACTCCACAGCTCATAAAATGCCTCCCTTCAATCCCTTGATGCTACTCTGCTTGCTAAACCTCCTGTGTCCTCCCAGCCCTCACTCCAACCACCACCTACATCTTTCTCTGTCTCTCAACCCCTGACAGCAGCAAGCTCTAAACTCTAACCTCTCCTGCCCTTGCCTGTTGAGACACCGGACCAGCAAGTTTGCCCACAGCTTATGTCTAATCTCTTGGCAGCAGCCGGAGATTGGAGTTTATGAACAGTAATAAAAATGTCATTTTAGCAGATCAGCTCCTGGAAGGACCCTGGGAATCCATCAAAGCTCTGTTTACTGAGTAAAGCGAACTCCTTTTCCCAATCGATGAGAAGAAAAGATTGAGTTTTTTGCACCTTCTTCCCAATTTCACAACGTTACTTTCAGAGGCACCTGAGCATCAGGAGACCTCTGTTTTCCCAAAAAGAGAATGCTAAATTCCAAATACCTCATCTTGGTGTCTTATCTGAAGGCCATATCCTTCCGAGGGCTTATAAACCAGCTCAAATGCTCTCAAAAACCCTAACCTGCTGCTTTTTTTCATGGAAGTTATTGGTCAAACTCACTCACTACAAGCAGGTGTAATTCTTCAAAAAGTACAAAACAAACTTGCTCCCGCTCCGACTTTGATCCTGTTGGAGCTAATATAGTTGTCTTTCTCACAGCATTTGAAATGGTTGATACTAAAGATCCTGTTATTATGAAGGCTGAGCTTGCCTCCCACAGTTACTCAGATAGGAAAGGCTGCTGGTACTAACTCCCCAGATCAGGTAGAGAATCAAAGTGGCAAAGGCTCCCCTCTTCCCAAAGTCCTGACAGACAACTGCCAGATCCAGTCCTGAGTCAGAGCCTGCAAAACCAGCAAGAGCTGCAAGACACTAACCCAAAGCAGAACTAACAGCCCTCCTGTACCAGCAGGTCAAAACCTCAGCTCCTGCAACTGTCTCACCTCTGAGAAGCTCAGGGATGCTAATGTCATTACAGCCCCCATGAGAGTTAAACGAAGACCTCTGTGGGGGCGATTCTTTTTTAAATCTTTACTATCAGGTCTTTAGACCTCTCAGTGCTGCCAGAATCACATTTCCTGGCTTTTATGTGCAATTACAGTGGCCAAATATTAAAAGCTTTTTTTTTTTTTTTTTAAAGTTGAAATTCTTTTATAATTCTGTGATCGAAGAGAGCTTTATGAAAACAACTCAGAAAGCCTGGTAACGGCACTGGTCTGGCCACAGCTCACATAAAGGGTACCTCATCTTAATGCCACAGGAGCAAACTGCCTCAGCTGTTACAGTTTTTGCCACACCAACGTGAGTTGAAGCAACTGTATACTGGCCTGGGGTGGGATTCAGACTTGCACTCATGGGAGAGAGTGGATTTAGATTGGTTCTTTGCACCTGTGCATCCCCACTTTTCTAAAGGAAATCGAAGTGTGGAAAGCCAAAGGGAAAAAAAAAAGTGTTACACATGATGGAGGTTAGGTAGGTTGGTTTGTTGTTTTTTTAAACAGGGGACAAGAGAGTAATGAGATATGAAAGTGAGACAGGTGACATAACCTGTTCCCCGCGCTCTCAGCTGGCAGCCAGTTCCCAGCCCTGGCCCCAGAGCGCAGCCTCAGCCACACAGCTGGATAAACTGGTGGAGGCATTTTGCCAGCGTACAGAGCGTGTGGGAACAGGAAGGAAGAGTGCTGTCCCTTGAATCCCACGGATTCAAGCATCGTGCCACGGCAGTGGGCTCCTGTAATTCTGCTGTCCCTCTCAACACGCTTATGCTGAGGACAGAGGCAAAATGCTCAACTGTTGGCCAGAAAATGAGGAAACATGGAGGAGAAAAGAAGGGTTTGCTTCCTTACCCTTTCTGTAACCCCAGTGGCACAAAGGATCAGTCTCCTCAGCTCTGTCTATCCCCACAGCTCCAAAAAAGAACACCTATCACCATGCAACCCTTTGGATGAGTCCTCCACTTCCCAAAAGGAACCCCACACTTCATGAGATTCAGCCTTCAGGTAGCAGGGCCCAGCCGTACCCCTCCTCCCACCCACCTCACCGCTGATCAGTCAATCAAGTTTGAAGGGCAGCACCTTCACTGAACCATTTGATTTGAGTTTGGAAGACACAGGACCAAGAGGCAGAAGGGGTGAGTGGGCAGGGAGCCATTCGCCTTTTGAAAGCAAGCTGCAGTGAAAACACTGCTTATTAACATTGACTAGGTCAGAAAATGGGGAAAAAGAGAAAAAGAGAGAGAAACAAATGCATCTCTGGCACAGTTTCCAATTGATTGTCTGCCATGAAAGCAAAAGCCAGCTGCCATGTTAATTATTCATGATGCCTGGCTCAGAGGGGAGGAAAAGGGGGCTTATGGAAGCCACTCAGCAGTGGAAAATTTGCATATGTAGATAGCAGAATAGGAAAAAGAGGTGGAGTGCTGCTGTACAAGATAAATGGGATGCACAGCATTTCAGCATTTCCTGATATATTTTGTGTACTACTTGTCTGTGGCTAAAAAAGTTATTACAGCTGAGCTCAGCAACAAGTGTGCACATGGAGGGGTGTGTGTGTGTGTGTGCACAGTGACATGCCCTGCACCGAGAGAAACCACAGAGGTTTTCTAAGTGTGACCAGAGCCATTCAGTTGTTCCCCCTGTCACAGTCATTTCAGGTTAGAAGTTTGCATGCGGTATAAGGAATCCCAGGGGAGCAACAAGAAGCTCATCCATGCAGAATCAAGGATTTGATCATATTAGTCACATGCTTTGAGGTTGTGGACTTAAAAGTAGAGCTATAAAAAGTAATTACACCAGTCAAGTAGCACAGCACACCTGAAAATGGGTGCAAGCAAGCTGCTTGTGTAGCAAGCCTCTAACACTTTCACTGTAGAAAAAAGGTATTTTGAAACCCTGAGGAAAGAAATAAGCGCTGCAACTGGGGGCAGGGGGAGTGAGAATCAGCACAGAGACATGCAGTGGCACAGGGCAAAGAGCAGAACAGGAGCATTTCAGATATCTCATCCACCACTATGGCCATGCACCATTAAAAGCTTGCAGAATAATTTGGGGTAAGCAGGTAGTCACAGTATGAGCTCTAGTTGTTCTGCTAAGACATTACCTGACAAGTTAGTACAGCATTCAGAAGAAAACAGCACCTCTGACCTCCTGAACGATCACTTCTCATGATTCCAAGCAATTTTAATGCTGAACTTAACTTCTATCTTGAGAACAGCCTTCCTTTATCCAGTTCTATGAGGGCATTGTACAGCTCACAGGCCAATTTCCCCACTGGTTCTGGATCCCTCAGTAGGTGATTTATGTAGTTTAGCACATATGGTTGTACGCACATGCATTCAGCAGGTATAATATAACAGCAAACAGAAATCATGTAGACCATTAAAATTCATCTCATCCTCTCATCCAAACCTAACTGGAAATGCTGCAGAACTGACATCAACAGGAGTTCTATGCAAGCTTAGACAGCAGGATTTGACTCAGAGCAAAGTGACAAATGAGGTGAGAAAGAAAACAATCGGGAAGGGAGACATGTGGGAAGAGGAGGCTCAAAAAAAGGGGAAAGACTCTAGTCCTATATATTGTGAGCAAGAGTCTTTTAGTCTCTTGCATAGAGAGTTTGTATTTTGTGGACTTGTCTCAATATTTAACAACCAAATTCCAAGTAATTGTCAAGGACCTTTGGGGCCTCACTTCCCGCATTCCCTTTACAACAGCTATTCAGTCTTCAGGTGCACCCAGATCAGCCTTACCGGGCAACACAACAGTACACAGAAGAGGGGTTCCTACACTGCACCACCATTTTGGATCCTCTCAGGAGACTACTCAGTGTTTATTTTCCTACCACATCCCTGGCAAGATTTAAATCTTTCCCCCAAATCCACCTTCCTCTGGATTTTCCAAACTGAGAAGCAGAAGGGAGGTTTATCAGACCACTCAACCACAACTGCTGTGCATCCTGCTTGATAAAGATAGGAAATCAAATCCCAGATTTACCTCTAACTACAATTATTATTAAATCCATTCCAGTTTTTCCTCTTTCTGCCTTTTTCAGTAGTTGCCTTCTCTCACATTTTTCTCCCATCCCACACAACAACTCCCAGTCTAAGAACCTTGTCTGTTAAGAGTTGTTCCCAAGGCATCCTGTTTTACAGGCTTCAAATTCATCCTGGATGTAAACTGAAAGCATCTAACAGGTGCTGCACCAGGATGTGGTTAAGCAGGTCACCCATGACCTTCCAGCATAACACACATAATCTATTCGCTCATACGACTGGGTCAGAGCCCTCGAATGTGAATCCTATTGAAAGCCAAGATTAAACCTCATTTGCACGTAATATGGGAATGCAAGAAATTAACATTTAATATCATCACAAAGCCTTCTGGGCCCATCTGAACCCCCTACAGAGCCCAATGGCCCCAAAATGTTTCTTCCAGACCTTTTCCCTGAAGGTCTTCCCCAGAAGAAAACCTTGGCAGCTTATATGAACCCTTCTGGAATAAACTGAAAAGAAATGCACTGACCTTTCTTTGCCCACTGGACAGTCCCCTCGCTGGAGTGAATGTAATTTTCAAATTTTGTCTGCAAAACCGTAGCCCTCTCCCGGACTTCCTGAGGGTCCGTGCCACAGGATTTCTACAAGGGTGGTAGGAGGATTAGAGGAAAGAGAGAATTTGAGTCAGGAATAATGAAGCAGTTTACAATAGATTTAATAACAGTAAAATCACACAGTAACCACCCAGGGGCCAACAAAGGTAATCCTCTCAATATTACTAGAGAAAAAAAAATACAGATAAAGACGTTAAAGTCAAAGCAGCCAGTGAGCAGTGTGGTGAGGAGAGCAAATCAATTTTAATTCTGTGTTTTCTAACATCTATCACGTATCTTTTTCCCTTTTTTTTTTTTTCCCTTCCAGATTCCACAGGCCAGATACCACTGCTTGTTTCCATTGGAGTTATTTGGAATAACTCCACTCAGACTCCACACTAACAGTTTTAGACTGATGTTGCAAGTTCCCCTGTGCAGTTCCCCAAAACACCTGGCCTGTTCTTGCCACTCATGGAGCAGGAGATCTACATTCACCCCCAAGCTCCGGAGAACAGACCAAATTTAGTACCTGTGAACAAAGTCAATCAAATGAACTTCTTGTTATTGATGCCTACACGAAGTTTGCTCCCTGTCAACAAGTTACTTAACTGTAACTGCCATCATGTGGTTCCTCTACAAGACAAGCCCCTTGCACCAAAGGGATGACAGAAGAAACTTAGACCAAAAGGGCAATTTTGCACGTGCTCAAGTTTCCCCAGGATCTGACTGTAGGATGCAGTTCAGGAAAACAACCATTCCTGGGAGCAAGCTGTTACTGGGAGGAGAAAAGAGGCTGTCTCTCCCTCTAAAGTAGCGGAGCAGAAGAAAACAAGAGAATTTTTGATACAAAGTTGACAGCAAAGTGCAAAGCCAAGCAGCCATGGAAGTGAACCTCTCCAAAGAAAGGGCCATGGTTCTCTAAAGCTACTCAGACAGGAACCAGCATCCAAGTCTAAGAGTGCCAGATCCAAGGCAGTAACTTGATACAGGTCAACCTCCTCATCTGACCAGGGTTGACTGAAAACAAACATCCAGCTCCCAGGATTCTGTACTAGGCCTGTGCCAAGGCAACAATCCTGTTGTTTCTCCCTGGTATTTGCATGCTAATGCTGCAAAACCCTCCTTCCCTCGCAGCTGCGAGCATCGTGTCAGCACTGCTGCCAGTCCAGGGGAATTGTATCACACTGACACCGCGAACCTCGGTGATCGTGGAAGCCAGGCGATGCTGCTGGCACCCTACACAAAATGTTTTGCTGACCCAGATCTGCCACTCTATAGCCTAACAGCAGATCTACCCAGAGACAGACCTCAAATGTAGTTTAAACTCCCTGCACAGTGCCCTCTTCTGAACTCAGGATCCCATAGCTTCCAGCCACTGGGTTATTCTTCAACAAAGCAAACACATGTGGGGACCAAAGCTCCTGCTCACTCCCTACCTGGACTAACTGTCCATCTGCATCTCCAAAGACAAGGTGGGTATTTTAAGCCTCCATGAAGAGTCTCCCAGATTTCCATTCTCTGCTCCCTGTCTCCCAACCCACTCAAGAAAGACTCATAACCTAAGATTGTTTCACAGATGCCTTTTAGTTTGACTTATCATCCGCCTATTAATCAGTTGAGACAGTCTCCAGTCGAGGGGCCTCTGTAAAGGCTTAATAAACTACAAGTGGTGCTGCCTCCCTGAAGTGGACACTCGTTGCTGTGACTAACAAGTTTCCATTGACGTGAAACATAAAACTTTCTCCCCCCGCCCGCTCCTCCTAGCCCCCATCACTTTTCTTTTGTTAAGCCTCCTGGCAGCACAAAGTGTCACCTTCCCAGCGTTTTTTAATATGAATGTGAAATTAGTGAGGCTTGCCCTTTCCCCTGGCGGACAGAATCCTCTGTTATTAAAAAGTAAAGCACTTTAATAATGAAAACTTTTTCTCTTTTTCCTGTGTTTTAACTGTTTAAAATTAATGAGAAGGGCATAACGGTTGTCAAAGCGATATTGAAAGCCGGGTAGCCAGGACCGAATAAGCACGAAAATCCCTCCAGAGTGTTAAATAAACAGTGCTTCAGCCCCCTCTGAATCCCTCTGTTGGTTATTGTATACATTCTGTAACAGCACTCAGAATAGATCTGAGCACCGGGGAGGCAGAAAGGTTTCAGAATTCCAATAAAGGCCTCAAATTAAAGACAGCCTGGTGCGAATTCCAGGAGAAAATTAAAGAGACCTCAAGCTTAAGTGACAGGTGACTTGCTTCTGTGTCACAACTGTCAGGGGATTTAGTGATAATATGGCAATATATTACAAAGGACTTTTCTTATTCCCCCCTTTAGGTTTCAAAATGAGGCATCTCTTCTTCCTGGTGCTGGGAAAAAAAAAAAAAAAAGAGGTAAGACAAAAATGAGGGATAAGAAACTAGGTGCATAATTTCCAAAGTGTGAGGTCAGTCCAAGAGAAATAAATGAAAAAAAGCAAATGGCAGGAAACATAATGTACTCAGAAAACAGCTTCTCCCCTCCTCCCATCTCCACCTTGTCTTTTATCCCCTTCAGCCCCTTGAGACAGATCTCATTTTAAAATTGCCCCCTAATGGGCATGAAAAAAAATAAATCTGTGTTTGATTCCTGCCTTTCAGGGAGGTTTATCTAAAAAAAAAACCCACAACCCAAACAACCCCACCCCAAAAATCAGTAATAATAAAAAAATAAATTTAAAACTGACTCAGAGCCAAACCATGAAAATAAAACCTGCACACCATGTGAGTGTCTGGACAGATCAAATATAACAGTGCTACTGGAAGTGCACTGGAAGGCATCCTGTATGCTTTACTCACACAAGGAAACTTTAATCCTGCTCGTATCTTGGTTTGAATGACCAGGACAATTAATCTGAGACCTTAGACATTTTTCCAAGACCCAAAAGATAAAAGCCTACCCCAGAGATTTGCTTGATCTACTCTCCATCTAGATGAATTTGTTACATCTGCTAAGTAAGAAGCATTATTGCCATTATGGAGAAATAGTGGGATAGGAGAACTTTCTCTACCACGTGTTTGCTTAGAGTAAGAGCCTGTTCTGGCAGATCCCTAACCACTAGCGCAATGACTGTGATCAATAACAATATCCATGAGCTAAAAGAAGAAACCGGCCTGGGTGCAGTGTTATTTAACTGATTCAAGTCATCAGGGGGACTCCGCCAAACGCCAACTACACCAGGAAGAGACATACTTACTTATTTCTTTCAGAAGAAGAAAACTTCTGATAATAAAGACTGCAGCTTTCAGGTTTGAGAGGCTGGGATAAGTACTGAAAGCTTCTGATTACATTAAGAGAAAATGTTAATGGGAGAAAGAATTGAAACACAGTAAAACTAGACTGAGGTAGAAAAGTTCTTTCGTAGAAAAATAAAAAAAAAAAAAAAAAGAAAAAAGCCAGGCTGTAACATCTCCTGCTTCCATTATACTTCAGAACAAAATGAAGGATTTTGTTTTAATAACAACTTTTTACTAACCTACACACACCTTCTGTAGAACTCACCAAGTTCCCCTGCCCCCCTCCATAAAAGTTGAAAGATCAAATTTATTCTCTTTGTAGGCAGGTGAACATTCACACACCCAGACATAGCCACATATATATTTTATATACCTAAATATAAAATATACATTTTACAGGCACTTCAGCTTGCTCCCTGGCTGTACACAGAAGCCCAAAAAAATACATGTTCCAATGTGGTACTTATAATGGACTTCAGTTGAGGCAATGAGAACCGAAGAGCATTATAATGAGGTTTCTGTGTGCACGACCATAATATATACATGACTCAATGCATGGAGAGCTGATAAGCAAAGCTAACATTCTCTCGAATGGCAACATCACAAACGGATCAGGTTCAGCTCCTCATAACAAGTCCTCAATCACTCTCTGGCCTATGCAATGTCCCATTGCATTCCCAGCTTACTGTACTGTCTTTACAGCAAACTTACAGAATTTAACAGAGATTAACCCCGTTGAAAACTTGGAAACATGCCCCTGCAGCTTCTGAGAAAGCACTGCAGACCACTTACAGAGCCTCTGATGGCAATAAAATATAAAGCTAACAAACAGAACGAGTCCTCGATCGTATTTAATATATATTTTTCAAGTAATTCCTGAAGAAGTCCATTTGATATTGTCAGAACTACTATAATTAACTCCCATTAAATGACACAGAATTTTTTCCATAAAGAGAAACTTATTTCTCAGTCCCAATCCTTGCAGATTCTGAGTCATACAAAAATAGGTTATTCTGTATTTATAAGTTCCTGCAGCAGATTCAGACCATCCTACAGCCAAAGCGGGTATATCTTGGCTCCAGTGAAGCCAGCAGCAAAACCCCATTTGCTTTGATGGCAGAAGGAAGAGAGGAATTCAATCCCACCTTCGGCTGCAAGTGAAAGGAACCAGCTCCTTCTGTACACATACTCCTGTACAGCACCTGGCATGGCAGAGCATGCCCAGGCAGTGCTGCTGAGCAAAAACCAGAGTAAGAGCTATTTGTAAATATCGTTTGGTTTTGTTTTTTTTTTTTTGAAGGAAAGGGAGAAAGATAAAACAAGAGTATTTAGAATATTCTTGCTTATATATGTAAAGCATTTAACAATTTGATCAGTCCTGGTAGCAAACAGACTTGTTAGCTTTTTACTGTTGTTCCAAAGGCACTAAGATGTTTAGGAGAGAATTTTCCAAAAGGATCAGTGATTTTGAACCTGCACAAGTACTGGGCTCTGACATTCCACAACATTCAGCAGGCGTTTTCTCCTGTCACTTTTCAAAAGTCAAATCATAATTTCCTACAAAAAAAATGTTCTTTTTTGCTCAGTTTCCATTAAGTAACATTTGTCTTCAAGCCCGGAATAATATTCTGTCTCACATCAGCAACAAATTTAAAATGTGATTTCTGCATAAATGTAATTGTTGAAAAAGTCTCCAAAGGAAACCCAAAGTTACCTGCCTATAAACACATTTGGGAGAAAACAAAAGTATTTATACACACAAGAACTATTTGAAATAATTTCTGCACTGACAAAGCACTAAACTTTTACATATTTGTCGGACAAGTTAAGAAGCCATATCCTACGCATGTTCCAGACATTTAAAATATAGGCATTACACACTGATTTAAGTAAAAAACTGTGCAGTGGTGGGAAAGAGCTTTAAATAGCTGTACCTCAGATGAGCTACAGATCTGGCTTTCTGTGAAATATAGGGCACGTAAGAAAACCGAACATCTTTCAAAAGCATGTTTACCAAGAACACCACAGTTCGTAACAGTCATCCGCAGGAAACAAGAAGGCTCATACATGGTATAACAGAAAGAACGAGCAGGCAAAACAGCAACAAGAGAAAAAAAAGAGCATGCTGCATCATGCTTGACACATTCTTGACTTCCATTCAAAATGAGGGTTCTTGGAGGATTTAATTTGCCAGAACGCAGAAATGCCCGAGACATCAATTGCAAATGACTGAATTCTGTGAATTAGCAACTCGAAGGCAGACCCAAAGCTTGCCGAAGTCAATGAAAAGATTCCTGTCAACAGTGAGCTTTGTTTTAGGCTCCAAGTAAATACAGATAATAAAAAGCCCTATGTAACACATCAACAAATACATTTTCCTTATTTCTTCAGAGAAGTAGTGTAATTTGTGATCTCCAACAGCATTTTAGTGCAGAAAAGCCAAGAACAGAAACACTGTGGAGGGAAAAAAGCCTGAAGCTTTTGCAGCCAAAACCATTTACTGTCTGTTACAAAAATATCTGCTGAAGAGTTAGAACCAACTGCTTTTTGGGGACAACAGCTTAAAGATTGGACAGTTGGGATATAAGGCAATTCTAGAATAATTTGCACTGCTTGACATCACAGATATATCAACCTTCATATTGTGAAGATAGAAACTAAGAGAGAAATACTTGTGATGTTTAACAGGTAAATGAAAACTGGAGCAATTCCAAATCAGCATAACAACTCACCTTGCTTCCTGGTCTGTGCAACTTGAAGCGATCATCTTTCATCAGGCTGGATAATACCTTCTCCATCTTTATCTCTGAAACACTGAAGTGACAAAGACAAAAAATTACCATTTCTCCTACTTTTCAAATATAGTGTCTAACGAGCCACAGACTGATAAAAGATAGCTAAAAGATTAAGATTTACATGTTCAACTTAAGAATTTATCCCTGAAATATACGAGGTCTTACCCCAGACACTCACTCAGCAACCCTAAAAGTGTAACTACTGTAAAATCTTGACCCCAGCTGGACTGGTGCTTTCACTGAAACACAGTTTTACCCCCAACCTTGTCTCTGTTACAAGTCATCAACACACACTCCAATTCTAATAGAGCATCGAAATAGTTAACTGAGGGTGGACTGTCAGTTCACTGAAAGTCTCCTTGGGTCTCAACCAGAGTACCTGATTAAAGAAAAAATTTAGGCCTTTAATTATGTCTGTCATTTTCATAATTTTTCCTTCCTTGCACTGAGAAGCACCAAGACAACTGGGAACCATTTGGTTATGTTTTCCACTAAAAGAAACTCAAACCAGAGTTCATAACACTAGTGTTTCTTAGAGATTTGCTTTATAACTATAAACAATAAGATCTGTAACCTCCACCTTGAGCCCAGAGGGTGTCAAACATTTTACTGTACATCAGATGCCATGGGCAGGGAGCAGGTGTCTGCACTCAGTTGCTCGTGCAAGTGTGAGAAAGAGACAGAGACACACATGCAGGCTGGAAAGATGTGCTCTGCTTACTTTGCTACTTCTCCTACATCTTGTCTCCCCCAGTTTACCTTCCAGAATCTCTGGAATTGCTCAACCTTTATTCAAAGGGACAAAGTGCTTTGATGTTTACAGACGTTTGTCTCCGCCCATGTTAGCAACCATGCTCTCAAATCCAAAGAGCTAAAACTAAAGCTGTGTAAAGACACAGCTCCTTCTCATAGTGACTCAAGCTCAGAGGGTAACAGCAGGATCCCAAGGAACTTTTCCCATCACGTTAACTCTCTTGCAGCTTCCTTCCCTCTGGTCACATCATCGCTCTTTCCCACAAAATCTTACATCATTCCAACTTCTTGCTACACCATTTGGGTCAGAGACACACTTCCCAATGGACACACACTCGCCAGTTCATTTACAGCCACAAGAGCCACTTCTAACATCAAATACACGGCTTGATTTCCTTCCCCATTCTGAGAACTCACCTTCTCTCTCAACTGAAGTGTAAAGCCAAAGCCCAGCCCATTAGGGACCACATAGCATATTTTTTTTTTTTTTTTTTAACTACAGGAGACTCAGTCAGCTGTCCTAGCCAGGCTTCACACCGGGCATTTATTTTCATTCTGTCGACTCACATTCCTCCTGTAGATTCAACCAGATGATTTATTCTCCAGTCCTGATAGCAAGACACTGCTAGGTCCTGTTATGGCCCAGATACTGGAAACGCTTACAAACCTGCTTCATTTTAAAGTGAGTGGTCCTACTTAGAGGTGCATTTACAGGAGACTAGAAATTCTTCATCCTCTTTAACACTGTCTTGCGGGGCACATGCACACCAGGTGACAGTACAGGAACAGCTGTGCAGCTCCAGGCCATTAATACTACAGCTGCATCCAAACTGGGTCCCATTTCCAAGGGAATTACTCAGATGATAAAAGCTGAAGTTTGTGGGCCCAAATTTTCAGCAATGGGCAAAAGTCATCTCTAGAAAAGAGATTCTTTTCCCTTTTTATACCAAAAAAAATCATAAATACTGCATGGAAGGCAAGGAGTTCATTTGGGGATACATCAGTCTAAGGAAGAGAGAAATCTTGGGGGTCCAACAGTTCTCAGACTCCTGAATCTCAGATGGTCAGAAAGATGTATGTGGTGTCTGAGAGGAAGCATTGCTGATATTCTTCAATTTGTAAAGTACAGAAAGAAATAACAACATGGTTAGCTCCTTGCTTTTCCCTCAAAGATCTCTAAAAACCTGGCCAGGATGAACAGAGGAATCTTTGCCATATCGTGTAACAGAACAAAGCGATCCTCACCCGTTCCCCAGTCCTTCCCAGTTAAAGCAACAAATACCTTTACTTTTGCAATCTGCCTCTTCAACCTCAGCCAGCTCACCACCACAACATAAGGACGGGAAAAGAGATGGTAAAGAGGAATAGCCATCCAGCCTGGAAGGTACAGGCCAGTGTGGCCCAAAGATGTTCTATATGGGAGACAAGCCCCATTGCTTTACAGCTGGGACTCAAGATGTAGCAGATTCCTCCGCAGAGGATGCAGAGAAAGGCGGGGGAGCGATGGGGGAAAAGGGAAATGGAGCATAAAAAGACAACTGAGGGTTTCTCTGTTTGGTTTTGAAAAGTATAACAGTAAATTAAAACATAAATGGCAACCACTTAAGCAAGAGAAAAGTATACCTCCCCATCCCTCCCCCCCCCCCCCCCCCCCCCCCAGGTTCCTTTGACACCGCTATGAATGAAAACGTCAAACCTTTGACATTGATTTGTCTGAGATGTCACCCCCTCTCCGATCCTCCTCTCGCCTGGCGCGCTGCCAGCTCGCAGCCTAACAGATATGCGAACTTGGTTCACAGCGGGGAGCATCATGTGAGGGGAGCAGGGGAGGGGGGCAAGCACAACCGTAGAGAGGGAGAGAAATGACTCGTGCCTTCACGGTGATGCGTTTTTCTTTATAAATTAGTTAGGCCGCCGTTAGGAGATAAAGAAATTATCTGATAGCTGTCGAGGCAGGCGCTGCTAGATTGCAGTTGAAGGAACTAAAAGAGATGTAAGGAGGGAAAAAAAAAAAGTGAACCTCACTGACTTTCTTCTGCTTCTTGCCTCCTCCCTTTGAAGGAAAATCTGTTAGTTACGTTTAGAGCTGAGACAGAACATTTCGGAGTCTAACCTTTAAAAAAAAAAAAAAAGGAAAAGAAAAAAAAAGAGGAAAAGTACAGAAAACATGAGTGTGCACGTGCATGTACATACACATGTACAGTTAGGTACAGGAGCCACAACTTCAAGCCACACAAAGACTGAAAAGAAAGTTGCAGAGAGGCATGCAGCCTTCTTGAGCCCCAACGGGAATTACTGATCTCAGCAGAGCCAAAGTGAGATCGTTTTGGCAAAGGCTAACATTGCTTTTCCACAGTGGAAGCCAAGGAGAGGCTTCAGGTACCGGTGAAAATTAATTGCGAGCGATTTCCAATTTCAAAGGCAGTCATCCCTAATTCCGAAGTGGATTTTCATCCAGGAACAAAGCCACGTCTGCTCTCATTACTTCCGACTCTCAACATTTCTGGACTTACTCCCATGCATGCTGGGGTGGGTGGAGGGGCTTAGGAAAAAACCTCTAGGTCAGATCCTCATCTACTGTAAATCAGCACAGCACTGCTCATTTACACCAGCTGAAGGCTGCGGGGACCCATCTCATGCTTTGTCTTCTTAGAAATACATATTTTATGAAGTATTTACATTTCAATAAACCCAGCAGGAATTTCATTTAAAAAAAGAAAAAACAAATTAAAAAAATTCACAACACACATTCATCCTCAACAAAACCCAAAAGCTTTAAAAATTAAGCAAAGAATAAAAAAATGCAAACTCCAGTAACTTGTGCAGTCCAAGTCAAAAGCTACAAAGACTTGGGGTAAAGAAACAAAAATTATCAGTGCTTAAGAGGATCGGTGACAGTCCAACACATGCTGTCTTTCGCCCTCGCACTGAATTAAATTGTCAGGATTATCACCATAATGCTCTGTTTATGAAGGGTAACGGCAATTTGTGCTGATGGCACTTGCTGCCTTTAGCTTCAAGCTGCCTTCCTGCATCTTCTCTGTAATTCATCAGCTCTTTTCTATCCCGTTGCCCCTTCTCACACCATGCGCTACTATGTAGGAAGAGCGGAGGACACATGACTGCCAACAGGCCGAATCAACCACCCATGCCAATTAGACACTCATTTTCTTCCATCTGAAGATGGGGGTCAAGGAAGGCAAATTCTACTTTTTTTTTTTTTTTTTTTGTCCCTTACCTGCAAGGCAGCACATTTTATGAAGAACGTAAAACAAACATACAAGAAAAGACAATCCCCGGAGTTCTTTGGCTCTGCTGATTTGAGAAGTGGATGAAGAAAAAAAAATTCGCATAAACCTCCCTCTGCTCATTCAGCACAGTCTTCTACAGATTCCCGAAGAACATGGCTAGCTCAACAACAGGTCTCCTTAGCAGATATAATTACCAGTGTGAGTGACACTGCTTCTTAAACTTGTTAAAAAAAACCCTAATTGGATAAAAGCATTAACATTTAAAATAAAAAAAAAGGAGGGAAATTTCCCTCTCCTTCCTCCAACACTTCCAAAATATCGTAAAATAGAAAAATAGAACTTTCCACTCAGAGTTAAAAATTCACAATTATGTGAGATTTCACCTTTAAATGTCAGTGCTGTTTGTTACATGAAAAAAAACCCTGTCAGCTTAGCCCTCCATGTCTTGCTGGTGTCTGCTTAATAGATAGTTACCTGGGATGATGGATAGCTCTTTGTTAGACCACTAAATGGCTCACAGCCTAGAATAAGCCTGTATTTACTGCCAACATTTGTTTGTTTCAAGGATGCAAAACCAAATTTGACTCCAAGCAGCTCCACCCGACATAAACAGAAGAAATAAGTGAGAACTAATTTGTGCATGAGTTTACAGGGCTCCATCAACACTAGTACAACACTAAAGGGACTCTACTTTGCTGATGTTCTGAAACGCTGAGAGACAGCAGTGCAGGGAGCAAGGGGAGTCACATATATCCAGCTGACTGCTAAGGTGGCTTAAGACCTGATAGTACTCCTGACTAGTAACGCTGAGCAGGGAGTTGTGGTTTTTCTCCACAGAAGGACCACTGCACAACCAGAGCTGGACTAAAATCCCAAAACGTGTTGGCCATCAGGTAGCTGACTGCACACTGGGCTGGTCCATACCCAGCCTGGCTTGCTCTTCTTACTGCCCACTCCCAAGTCTGAGCTAGTCAGTGTAAGAGAAGCCTTCTCAGCTAGTCTGGAAGCACACCCCACTTCTGGTCTCCAGAGTCCACATCCCTTATTGCCTTCCAGGACCATACTGGGTATGTGCCACTTGCAAAAGCCTCTACTATTCCTGTCACAAGCCACTTACACAACACATCTTGGCCAATTACCTGCCAGATATGACCCACAGCTCCCTAGCTATTTCTCCACCGGATCTCTCCTGAAGAGAAAGCACAGTCTCTGACAATATGGTGCTATGCAGGCAGATGGCCAGTTAGCATTTGACAGGCTCATTTGACTTGTGATCTCCACATAGCCACGATTTGAACCCAGGGCCAGAGAGATAACAATGGAGTGCAAAGGATCTCCGACTATCGTCTTCTCTCTGCCCCTCACCCTCACTCACGCACAATCTGTCAGGCTGATGATTTTCACACACTTTCCTTTTCTCCTTTTGCTAGTCTGGGGCCGGTCCTGGATCACAAGAATTAATAAATTCTTATTAAAACCTGCACGAGACACAGTCCCGCTGAAAGTGCCATGGAAGGTTAATTAGCAAGGATGAGCTGAAACTTTTGTTCGCGTTTCTGACTCACTTAATCTTGTGAGAAGCCAGCAAGCTGACATATTCTGCCTCCGAAGGCGCCAGGACAAGCAGGCTGTTCCCGTGACAGCCAATGCGAGCCGTCCTCCCGATCCGGTGGATGTATTCCGCAGGTGAAGCCGGAGCGTTATACTTCAAAAGGGAACATGAGAAGGGAAAGGAGGAATTAACAGAACACAGCATGTTAATTATAAACGAGACACTCAGCTCACTCATCTGAAACAAAAGGGATCTTAGCAAAACCCACATGCTATACCTCCCTCGGAATTGGCCTGTTTATACAGAGCCCATTGGGCTCATCCCTGTAAGCATCACTCAGCCCCCTCAGCCACAGCAGTTTTTTGACATGTGAATGTGACACATTGGCCAACTTTCAGATAATAGGACAGTTTCCCCATCTCAGTGTCTCTCTTTGCCTTTTACATTTTATTTCTATACAGGCACGTCAGGAACCTGTTTGCTTTTCTTAAAAAAAAAAACAACCCAAAACCAAACAAACACCAGACCAAAAAACCCCCTAGGACTGCCCATACAGTGTGGGAAGCTGCCTGCTCTGCATTTGGGAGCAAAGACATAAATTAAAATGGATTAAAATTTGGAGTTGGGCTAAATTTCTTTGCTTTGATTAAAGCAAATCATAGCTGGTTACTGGATAGAAGAAATCTAAGAGAGATGAGGGATTAAGTGCTTTCAGCAGCATATGATACAGGTAGCAACCATCCTCCCATGCACAACTATCAGGCACTATGAAAATGTTGCTTAAAGCCCCCCCTAACATAGCGGTGCCTCTTATTTACTTCACTGGGAATCACAACTGCCCAGCCATTTGCAAGATCTGATAAAGGGTGACATACTTCCCTCCCTTTAACCTCCCCCTATTCTTCTCCCCCCCCCCCCC